CTACTGACGAGCAAATTAATAAGAAAAATAAAAAAGGAACTCTACTGACGAACAAACTATAATATCAAAAAATTGACTCTACTGACAAACTAATAATAAAAATAGAAAAGGAACTGTACTGACAAACAAACTAATAATAAAAAAGAAAAGGGGCTCTACTGACATACAAACTATTAATAATAATAAAAAATAGACTCTACTGACGAGCAAACTATTAACAAAATTAAAAAAAGAACTCTACTGACGAGCAAACCAAGAAATGAACTGTATTGACAAGCATACTAGCAAAAGAATAAAAATGGGACTCTACTGACAAACTAATAATGAAAATAAAAAAAGGAACTCTACTGACGAGCAAACAATTAAAAATAAAGAAAGGACTCTACTGACGAGCAAACTAATAATAAAAAATAGACTCTACTAATGAACAAATTGATAATAACAATAATTGAAATTAACTACTGAAAATTTGGTACCCAATTTTGTCTGACTTTGTTTTTTTCTTACCAAGGGCCAAGGACAATTGTACAAACGTATGAGCAACCGAAATGACTCTACTGACGAGCAAACTAATAATAAAAAATAGATTCTACTAATGAACAAATTGATAAAAACAATAATTAAAATTAACTACTGAAAATTTGTTACCCAATTTTGAATGATTTTGTTTTTTTTTTACCAAGGGCCAAGGACAATTATACAAACGTATGAGCAATCGTTACAAAGAACATTTTCCTCTCGTAAAATTACAACTATGCCCAATTTTGGAATCTGCAAAAGTCACCACCAACAGTTCTTCATTTGTCACCAATTTTGTGACCAAATTTGCCCAGCCGATTGTTGCCAAATTTCAAAAAGAAGGAGGAAATTTTCCAAAACATTGTCCTGTACAAGCGGTTAGTGATAATTGATTTTTTTGAAATTTTTTGGCCAATTGGTGACTTTGACCAATTTTTTTTTGTTTTTTTTTTTGTTGCAGGATAATTACCATGTGAATTATCATTTGGATGAGGATTTGTTTCCTGCCTTCTTGTTGCCAGAAGGCACTTGGAAACTGGCTGGCAATTTGACTATGTCCAAAACTTTGGTTGTAGAATTGAATTGTGTTTTTGATATTGTTACTTATTCTTCGGAAAAACAGAAAAATAAAATGGGTTGAAACCAATTTTTGGTTTTGCATTTGCACCAAGTTTTGTGAATTTTTTGTTAATAAATTTTATTGTTTTAATTTAAAGTTTTTTTATTAAGTTGACCAAAAGGGTTGCAGTTTTGATTGAAATTTTGAATTTTTGTCAATATAGTTTTTTTAGTTTCAGTTTTGGCTTGTATTTCAAAGCGCTCGTATGTCAAGTCACACAGAAAAAAAATTTTCGAAAAAAAATATTCGAATTAAAAAAAAATTGGAATAAATCAATTTTTGGGAAAAAAATTCATAAAATTTTTTTTAAAAAAATGTTAGAAAAAAAAATTGAAGGAAAATGTTTGGAAAAATTGAAAAAAAATTTGAGAAATAAAATTAAGTTCGAAAAATTGTAACAAGAATTACTCGTATGTCAAATCACACAAAAAAAATTTTTGAGAAAAAATTCTGGAATTAAAAAAAATTAGAACAAAGAATTTTAGAAAAGAAAGTTTTCTTACAAAATTTATGGAAAAAAAATTTAAGAAAAAAAAATTTTTGAGAAAGAAATCTGGAAGCGCTCGTATATCAAAGCGCACGTATGTCAAATAATACAAAAAAAATTTTTTGGAAGAAAATGTTGGAATAAAAAAATTTGGTCAAAAAAATTAATAAAAATTCATAAAAAAAATTTCAAAGTCTAAAAAAAAAATTCAATCTTTTTGAAAAAAATTAACTTTTGGTACGGAAAGTTCCAGCAATTTGCCTTGAGGCACGATGCCATACACGACTTGTTAACTTCCCGAAGGAGAAGTTTATGTTTTTTGAGATTCTGTTTGGTCATCAGTATAGTCCCTTTTCTATAATAAAACAAAGAATTTGTTCGTCAGTAGAGTCTTTTTTACTAAAATGAATTTTACTTTTCAATCGTGTTTTTTTTTAACTAATAAAACATTTTTATTTTGCTTGTCAGTAGAATCTTTTTTTTTTTATTATAAAACTATATAATTTACTGAATTTTCTCGTCAGTAGAGTCCCTTTCTTATTATAAAACAATATCTGAATTTAACCATCAGTAGAGTTCCTTTTTCCTAAAATTACTTTTTTGATATTTAAAATATTTTACTGAATTTGCTCGTCAGTAGAGTCCCTTTTTTATTACAAAACAATATCTGATTTTGCTCGTCAGTAGAGTCCCTTTTTATAATAAAACAGAGAATTTGCTCGTCAGTAGAGTCTTTTTTAATATAATAAACTAGTTGGTTTGGTATTTAGCTTTGAGGCAAGTTACATGAACTTCCCGATATGTGTAAATAATCGACTTAATCAAAAAAAAAAATGTGTAAATAATATACTTCATCAATCCTACTTTAAAAAAACGATAATAATTTTAGCAAAGTTTGACGAATTTTTAAAATTAAACTACTTGTCGTAAGGCCGTAATATTACAGTAAGTTCTATAAGACATGATGTATATCGCCAAAAAAAGTTCCAGTAAAAAAGGCTTGAATTTTTTTTAACATTTAATTACAAGAAAACGGCTCGGTAGATTTTCACCTAAAATTAATCAGCATCATTCCCAAATGATATCTTTCGAACAGTTTTTGATTTTTTAAAATCGGTTCGGTAGGATGAGCTTAAATGTGGACGAAAAGTTTAACACTTTTTTTCAAATTGCAAAGAAACGGCTTGGCAGATCGTCGCACAAAACTGACAAACGATAGTCCTCACCGAAATACATCAAATGGCTTTTAAATTTCTGAAATCGGTTCAGGCGTTTTTGAAAAAACGTCGATCAAAAGTCTAATTCTGACAAATGCCAAAAAAACGATACCAATTTTTGCAAACTTTGACGAATTTTTAAAGCTGAACCAGTTGTCGTAGGGCCGTAATATTTCAGTATGATCTAGAAGACTATGGTATCTACAGTCAAAAAAATAATCATAAAAATCGTCGAATTTTTTTTTTAAAAACTTTATTACGAGAAAACGGCCCGGCCGATCTCTACCAAAAACTAATCAGCACGTTTCCCAACCAATATCTTTCGAACGGTTTTTGATGTTTCAAAATCGATTCAGAATTGCGGACTAAAACGTAGACGAAAATTTTTTTATTTTTCTGCGATTTATAAAGAAACGGTTCGGCCGATCGTCGCACAATAGTTCTCGTCGAGATACATCGAATGGCTTTTAAATTTTTGAAATCGGCCCAGCCGTTTTCGAGAAAACGTCGATTTACGGCAAAAAATCTGTTCACATACACGCACACACACACACACACACACATACATACTTTTTCCAAATTTGGTCTTATTCGATTCAGAATGGCTTGAAACGTCGAGAAAACATAAAATTAGAGAATTTTTTTTTTTATGAAAACATAAACTTCTCCTTCGGGAAGTTAATAATAATATCCATTATTATATTTTTATTTTTTGTAGTTTTAACTAATCTGTTACAATTAATAGAACATTTTTAGTCAGTAGAGTCCTTTTTTTTACTAAAATGACACTGAATTGTTGATATTAAAAATTCTGTTATCTTAACATTCTTCCTTGCTTTGTTTATATGTAAAATGCGCCTGATAGCACGGCAAATAGTTAGACATTTTCACTGCCAATAAACAAGAGCAATTACTAGAATTATGTTTATGTCAATTGAAACATAATGACTTCGTTATTTTTGACAGTTATATATATATATATATATATATATATATATATAATTTAAAATCTTACATACGCAATCCATACTTACGCACTTTATATATATATATATATATATGAATATATATATATGTATATATATATATATATATATATATATATATATATATATAATTAACTTTCCGTAGGGTAAGTTATTGTAATGGGCCGAAAATCGGAATTAAAAATTTTTACATTTCTCGACGTTTTGAAGGTTTCTGAACATTTTGGCATACCACAGAAAAAATGGCTGTCTGTGTGTGTGTGTGTGTATGTATGGATACAAATTTCCAGTCACGTTTTCGGGCGCACGGATCAACCGATTTGAATGGTTCAAAATACATTCGATTCCTATTAATAGGGAAAAGAGCTGATCAGTTTTTGGCAAAGGCAGGTCTAGCCGTTTCGGGGATACGGAGCAAAGAGTGCAGAAAATATAAATCGACTTTTTGACAGAACGGAGTATCCGATTTGAATGATCTAAAAACATTCAATTAGTAATGATTGGGAGAAGTGTTTATTAGTTTTTGGCAAAGGCAGGCCCAGCCATTTTGAAGATACGGAGCTAAATATGTGAAAAATGGCAGTTTTTGAGAGAACTAAGCGTCTGATTTAAATGATTCAAAGAACTTTCTGCTTGTCTTAACAAAATAATCGATTTTGGAATTTTTTTTTTTTTTTTTTTTTTTTTAGTTTTTTGTATATCGAAAATATTTATTTTTAATTCTGACTATAGTTCTAATACACTTTAAACAAATAATTTCAACTTTGCAATTCAGTTTATATAATTCTCATTAATATTAGACAATGTTACAATATTAATAATAATATATTTGAAAACATTCAGTATTCTTCGAACATTTCGTTACGGTACGGGAAGTTCCAGCAATTTGCCTTAAGGCACGATGCCACCCACCCCACAAGTTTAAAGATCAAATCAGCAAACTTTAATTTCCGCCAATTTACAAAAAAATTACATACGCAATCCATACTTACGCACTTATATATATATATATATATATATATATATATATATATAATTTAAAGATCAAATCAGATTTAATTTCCGCCAATTTACAAAAAAATTACATACGCAATCCTTACTTACGGACAGTTCATTTACAAAGATCAACAGGAAAAAAATATTCACAAAAAATGTTCTTGGTCAAAATTTTCATGGCATTTCTCTTGACAAACCTGGCCCAAAGTTGGGTAAGTGGCCCAAGATGAATAAAAATTGTTTAAATCATTTTTTTTGTTGATTTTTAGACTAGTTACAAATTAAATTTGGAGTATATACGAGTCGCGTATTACAACAAGGAATTTGTTGATTTAGAACAATTGGAAATTGTTAAGGTCAACAGGACCTATAGGTACTTCATTGCAAAAGGACGAAGTCTTAAAACTGTCAACACTTATGCGGTAAATATAATATTGTTACCATTTTTATAAATTTTACCAATATTCACAATTTTTCATAACTTTTACCAATTTTTTTGATTTCTACAATTTTTCAAAATTTTATTCTTGACAGATAGAAGTTCAATTTTACAAATTGATGACCAACAGATACAAAGAGCATTTCCCATTGGTAAAATTCAACTTTTGTCCAATTTTTGCCGGTATATATAATGCCCAGCACGGTATAGGTATAAGTGGGCAAATTGCTAGGACCTTTTACAAGCCCATACTTACTTCCTTCAAGCTTCCTGGACAGATAATACCTAAAGGTTGCCCTATACCACCAGTAAGTAAAAATCAAAAACAAAACTTGGTACGGAACCTTTGATATGATATTCTTAAAGTGCTCGTCGAAACCTTTCAAATGATACCCCACATCAATTTTTAGCATATGGAAAAAAATTGGGCCCTAACTTGGGCCACTGTAGTATCATAGTATGCTTATGTATGTGCATTTATTTATATTATGTCTTGTAACTTTTAAACCGCTCGCTTAATACAAATGCAACCTTCGTAAGAAATATAGAGAATTGAGTTATCTACATTTTTTGTAAACATTATGGCACCCTATAGTAACTAGGTATATCTAAAAATTGCGTTTGAAAGTTAAAAAAAACGATAATTTTGTATCTAAGCTTGTATAAATCGAATAAATTTATTACGTATGTATGCAAATATGTATATATGTATATATATATATATATATATATATATATATATATCAAATGGTTTTAGGGTCCGTTTAGGTTTAAATTTGACGTAAACGAGGACGATTATCCTGGATTTTTGATGCCTGATGGCAAATGGATGGGAAAAGCCATTGTTTGGGATGATACAGTTGTTATGGTTAATGAGAGCATTTATTTTGAGATAAGAACCTTTGCATCGGAAAAGCAGAAGAAGAAATTTGGATAAATTTAATATAAATATTTCAAATAAATATATATCTTTAAGATGCATAAACAACATTCATATTAGTTTAGTTTGAAATTTTGTTTTTTGGGGTTTTGACATTTATATTTGTCCAATAAATATTGTGTATTTCAATTTTTATTTTATGTTTAATTTGACCTAATGAAATTTTTTACATATATCTTTACGTTTCAGTGGCTTCTGAAGATTTTTCATACTTTAGAAAAAATAGATGTGCGTGTATGTTTGTTCGGAACCCTGTTTAGTTTTTGACTATAATATTCTGATAGTGCTCGTCGAGACCTTTCATTTGATACCCCACATCGTTTTTATAACATATGGAAATATTTTTGGCCCTAACTAGGCCCGCCGCGTTGAGCATTGAAAACTCTTGTAACTTTTGAATGGTTTGTCCAAATTGGTTGAAATGTTTTGCAGATTTGTGGGAATTTAAACAATCTATATTTTCTTGTACCATTGCTACGAAGGTGTGACAGAAAAAAGGACTCTACTGACGAGCAAATTGAATTTGAGTGGGATATAGACAAAATTGTGATAAGAAAATGGACTCTACTAGCAAGCAAATTATATTTTAGAATTTTATCTGACAGGTGTGATAGAAAAAATGACTCTACTGACGAGCAAATTGAATTTGAGTATAATATTAAAGAAGTGTGACAGAAAAAGGACTCTACTGACGAGCAAATTAAATTTGAGAATGATACAGACAAAATTGTGATAGAAAAAGGGACTCTACTGACGAGCAAATTAAATTTTAGAATATTATCAGAAAGGTGTGACGAAAAAAGGGACTCTACTGACGAGCAAATTAGGTAAAGTTATTTATTAATTAATTTGTGCGGAACCTTATTATCTTGATGAACTATTTAGTATAATATTTGATTAGTTCTGGTCGAGACTTTTTATTTGATACCCCACATCGATTTTTGCCTTAGAAAAATATTTTTGGCCCTAACTTGGCCCTCTATACGAAGAAAGTGCGAGCATTTATTCAATCTCGTGTATCTTTTGAACGGTTTGTCCAAATTAATTGAAATATTTTGCAAATTTTTAGAAAATTGAACAATCTATACCTTCTTCTATCAACACTCTAGAGTAACTTCTAATACTCAAAAATTACAATAACAATACATAACGTCAACGAAAAATTGAATTTATAAGAGTAATATCAATGAAACACGGTGTCAGAATAAACTAAATTATTCAAACTCCAATTTTATACATTTTTGAATTGGTATAAAATTTAAATATATACTTGAACCATTTTCTAGCATAAAACTAAAAAAAAAAAACGAAACTTAATTACTTGTACAAGCTTTCAAGTATAATATTTGATTAGTTCTCGTCGAGACTTTTCATTTAATACTCCACACCGATTTTTGCCTTACAAAAATATTTTTGGCCCTAACTTGATAACTTGGCCCACTGTGATATTTATACTACGAAGAAATGTGCAAGCATTTATTAAATCTCTTGTAACTTTTGAACGGTTCGTCTAAATTGATTCAAATATTTTGCAAATTTTTAGAAAATTAAACAATCTACATTTTTTTTATCATCACAAAACCCTAGAGCAACTCCTACTACTCAAAAATCATGATAATAACGCATAACATCAACAAAAAATTGAATGTATATGAGTAATATCAATAAATCTTTAGTGTTGGACTAAAACAAAATATTTTTTTCTTACCCAACAATGTACGACAGAAACTAAAATGCAAAATTTAAATGCAAACTGGATTAGAGACATTTTTAACATACGGATTTTAAAAAAATACTAAAGTATATCAATTGTTTTGTTTAAATTATATACGGACGATAATCCCGGAAATTATGATTTTGCGTACAAAATTCAATTGGTTACGCACAATTACCTACAAACACACTTACAAACGCAAATTAAATGGTGCATAACCTAATTGAGACAAATTTCTGAAATATTTTTAACTTTAAAGAAATTAAGTTATAGAAATGTGAATGAAGTCATGATAGCAACAAACTTTTTGATTTTTCACCGACAATTTTAATTCAAAACGCTAAATCACGATTTTAATCATTATTCAATCAAAAATTGCATACTTATTTCCGCCAATTATTTTGTTCGGATAAAACTGAATTTGTATAATTCAGTATTTTGCACAATTTGCAACCGAAGAGATGAATCCAATACAGTTTGCATTAAAATTTTGCATTTTTGTTTCTGTCGTACAATGTTGGGTAAGAAGAAGACTTTTGTCATTATATTATTTTTATAAACTGTAGTTTTGGCTAAACCTGTACTATTTTTTAGACCAACTACAAAATAGTTTTCCAATCCTTACGTCTGGCCTATCACAATCCAGAATATGTTGACGTCAAGAATTTTGAAGTTCAAAGAGTTAACAGGACTTACAGTTTTTTGCACGTCAATGTGGTTACTAAAAAAATTGTGAACAGTGCTGTGGTAAATATGATAATTGTCCGAAGGCAGGTTTATGGTAAAAATCAAACTTGCTTTCGGTTGCATTACTTGGTACATCAATATTAGTACTAAATCCTTTATTACTAGGTGCAAGGTCAACTCTACAAACAAATGAGCAACAGGTACAAAGAACACTTTCGTCCGCTAACTTCGGACTTCTGTTCCTTATTTTCTGGAATAAACAACTCCAAACTGTCAGGAATGTCAGGACAACTGATGGCAACCCTTCTGAAACCTTTGCACAAGGCCTTCAACAGTCCTGGTCAACAATTGCCCAAGGGCTGTCCTATTCCACCTGTAAGGGGTAAAAATACCAATTGTTAGGGTTGTATTTTGATGTTGATTTTTTTTTAGGGCCCAATTGTTATGAAGTTCAGTGCCAATGAGGATGACTTTCCTGGTTTTTTGTTTCCTGAAGGCAAATGGATGCTAAAAGGGAATATTACTGATGGTGCAACTCTATTGTTCAATACGAGCATGTATTTTGATATCAGGACGTTTTTGTCGGAGAAACAGAAAAAAATATTGGGTTGAAGGATTTCTGGTACACTTTTTTGGTTAGAAATCATTATTATTGTCTGGAATTGGGATTTTTAGTTTTTATCTAACTGGTCACATTAAAAAGGACAAATAATTTGGATTTTTATGCAATAAAATGTGTTATGTAATCATGCTTATTTTGGTTTACTCAATAAGATTCTTATAAGATTCCCGTTAGACTCTTATTAGAATTACGTCGAACCACCCAAACTGTCAACACGTATGTGGTAAATTTTTCTCCAAATAAAAATATATTTTGATTACAATTGTTAGTTACTATTAACGTACCTAGAGAATGTCCGATACCATCAGTTAATGTATAAAATAAGTATTCTACGCAACCCGGTTGGTTTTCCAAGTTTTTAACTACATTATTCTGAAACTCCTCGTCGAGACCTTTCATTTGATACCACACACGGTTTTTGGCCATATGGAAATATTTTTGGCCCACTGTATTATTTACAGTACTTCGAATCCGTAAGTTTTTAACTACATTATTCTGAAAGTGCTCGTCGAGACCTTTCATTTGATACCACACACGATTTTTGGCCATATGGAAATATTTTTGGCCCACTGTATTATATACAGTACTTCAAATCTGTAACTTGCGTGTGTATCTAATTACTAAATCTCTCGTAACTCTTAAACCGTTTGTCCACTTTGAATGAAATATTTTACATATTTGTGCAAAATTTATTTTTCTAAAATACTGTCTAATATTATAATGCACTAGAACAACTCGGTGTACTTTAAAATAGCAATAGAAATAGATGAATAAATCCTGACACGATACTACTCAATTAGCTCTGAAAAGTAATGTATAAATGTTCAGAACAAATTTTGTACGGAACCCTGTCAGTTTTCCTAGTTTTTAACTACATTATTCTGAAAGTGCTCATCGAGACCTTTCATTTGATACCACACACGGTTTTTGGCCATATAAAAATATTTTTGGCCCACTGTATTATTTACAGTACTTCAAATCTGCAACTTGCGTGTGTAACTATTAACAAAAACTCTCGTAACTCTTAAACCGTTTGTCCAATTTGAATGAAATATTCTATAAATTTGTGTGAAATTCATTTTTCTAAAATATTGTCTAATATTATAATGCACTAGAACAACCCGGTGTACTTTAAAATAGCAATTGAAATAGATGAATAGTTCCTGACGTAAAACTACTCAATTAGTTTTCATATATATTCATTAGAATCATAAGTATGTGCATAGTGCAATGCCTAAGAATGTTTTCTAGCACAAACTAATTTGTCGGTCAGCTTGATATCAAGCAGTATAACATCAGATCTTTACTATATATTGAATAAAAAGTAAAGTGAAGATGACCAACACTATTAGATATATTATATATTAGTTTACTCTGAAAAGTAATGTAAAAATGTTCAGAACAAATTTTGTACGGAACCCTGTCGGTTTTCCTAGTTTTTAACTACATTATTCTGAAAGAGCTTGTCGAAACCTTTCATTTAATACCACACACGGTTTTTGGCCATATAGAAATATTTTTGGCCCACTGTATTATTTACAGTACTTCGAATCCGTAACTTGTGTGTGTAACTATTTACTAAATCTCTCGTAACTCTTAAACCGTTTGTCTAATTTGAATGAAATATTCTATAAATTTGTGCAAAATTCATTTTTCTAAAATATTGTCTAATATTATAATGCACTAGAACAACTCGGTGTACTTTAAAATAGCAATTGAAATAGATGAATAGTTCCTGACGTAAAACTACTCAATTAGTTTTCATATATATTCATTAGAATCATAAGTATGTGCATAGTGCAATGCTTAAGAATGTTTTCTAGCACAAACTAGTTTGTCGGTCAGCTTGATATCAAGCAGTATAACATCAAATTTTCATTATACCTTGAATAAAATGTCAAGTGAAAATGACCAACATTATTAGATATATTATATATTAGTTTACTCTAAAAGGTAATGTATAAATGTTCAGAACAAATTTTTTACGGAACCCTGTCGGTGTTTCTAGTTTTTAACTACATTATTCTAAAAGTGCTCATCGAGACCTCTCATTTGGTATCACACACGATTTTTGGCTATACGGAAATTTTTTTGGCCATACGGAAATATTTTTCGCCCACTGTATTATATACAGTACTTCAAATCCGTAACTTGCGTGTATAACTATTGACTAAATCTCTCGTAACTTTCAAACCGTTTGTCCAATTTGAATAAAATATTTTACAAATTTGTGCAAAATTTATTTTTCTAAAATATTGTCTGATATTATAATGCACTAGAACAACTCAGTGTACTTTAAAATAGCAATTGAAAGTTATATGTAATCAGTGACTTCTTTGTTTGATGTTTCGTCATCAATATGCATTTTTTTCTATAAATGATGTTTTCGAAAATTTTGCTCAAAATTACTCACTTAGCAACTCTGTGAAATATTTCTGGCCCTAACTTGACTCCCTGTGTTGACCATTCATTGAATCTCTTTGGTTTGTTCAAGTTCGTTAAAATATTCTGCAAATTTGTAGGAAATTAAGCAATCTGTTTTTTCTTGTACCATCGTTACAAAGGTGTGACAGAAAAAAGGACTCTACTGACGAGCAAATTAAGAAAAATATTTTGAGGGTGTGACGGGAAAGAGGACTCTACCGACTTGCAAATTAAATTTGAGAATGATATAGACAAAATTGTGATAGAAAAATGGGCTCTAGACGAGCATATTAAATTTGAGTAAAATATCAGAAAGAGTGACGAGGAAAGAGACTCTGCTGATGAGCGAACTAGATTTGTTAATTAATAATTAAATATTTGTACCAAACCTTATTACCTAAATGGTCTTTTAGTGCAATATTTGATTAGTTCTCTTCGAGACCTTTCATTTAATACCCCACATCGATTTTTATCTTACGAAAATATTTTTGGCCCTAACTTGGGCCACTGTATTGAATATTTATTGAATCTCTTGTAACTTTTGAACGGTTTGTCCAAATTAAATGAAATATTCTGCAATATTTAGAAAATTAAACAATCTACACATTCTGCATCATTGTAAGACCCTAGAGCAAATTCTGATCCTCAAAAATTACAATAACAAAGCAAAACGTCAACGAAAACTTAAATTTATAAGAGTATTATTAATGAAACCTCAATGTTGAATAAAATAAATCATTTAAATAGAAATTTTATACATTTTTAAATTTGTATAATAATTTTCAAGCATAAAATTTAAAAAACATAATTTTGTACAAAATCCTATAGGGCTTTTAAATGTAATATTTAATTATTTCATATAATTTAATTATTTTGTTTGAGTTTGCATATAAGTAGAGTTCCTCTTACATTTTTATTCGGTTTGCTTGTTAGTAGATTTTTTCTTAGAATTTTTTCAGTATGCTCGTCAGTAGAGTCTATTTTACATTATTTCATTTTAGGTCGTCAGTCTTTTCATAATTTTGCTTTAGTTTTCTCCCATCTTCAAATAGTGTTTGCTCGTCAGTAGAGTTCGTTTATTACTTTCTTTCCTATTTTTAGGTTGCTTGTCAGCAGTGTCTTTTTTTTCGTTTGTTTGTCAGTAGATTTCCTTTATTTTCTGTTATGCTTCAGTTTCCTTCATTATGCTGTTATGCTTCAGTAGAGCCCCTTCATTAATTTCTTTAATTTTCTTCAGTTTGCTTATCAAGAGCGCTCCTTTTTTATTTTTTAGTTTTTATTTTCAGCTTTCTTGTCAGTAGACTTCCTTTTTGCTGTCCTAATTTTTTAGGTTGCTTATCAGTACAGTTCATTTTTTCTTTACTTATCAAATCCTAAACAAGTCCTTGCTGAAACTTAAAATTCAAACATAGACATTTAATGCAAATGCATTAATTTACCATTTCCTTTACAAATCCTAAACCATTCGATGAGCATGAATGATGCATTCGACAAATTTGTGCAAAATTAAACAATCTAAAATATCATCTAACATTATAATGCCCTACAGCAACTCGGTATGCTCCTAATTTTAAAAAGAATTTTGGTTTCATTCGTAAAACTGTTTTATTTTTGTTTGAAACGTGAAGCGACCAATAGCATCAACGAACGCGTTAGAATGATCTCATTAACAGCCAATGACAGACCAGAGTTTGTGCTGAAGTGATAATGATCAAGTATTTGCTGTGCAGTCAGGCGTATTATAGGAAAATGTAATTTATTAGATGTACTTATAATAAGATTCTTTTTTGATGTTTGTGCGTTTTATATCCAAAGCGCCTTAATGCACAGCAATTGCATAGCATTTTGACAGGTTTTAGTACGACTTTATATGAAAACTTTTACATAACATAGCCTTGTTGGTATATTTAACAGCAAAATTGGCTATTAAATCTGTTATTTTAGACCAAACAGTTCCAAATTTTTACTCAATCTATGTAATATCATGACTGGTATATGAAATTATTTTTAACACTGTTATTAAATTAACAATGATCAATTTTCTGTATGATGATTTCAATTGCTGATATGTGACTTTGCAACTTTTTGCAACAAATAATAATTTGATATAAGTTGATCAGATAACGTTTTGTTAAGCCACTGAGTGGATTTAAATATATGTTTTTTCAAAAATAATCAGCTAGAATTCCAATTTAGCAGAATGTATTTATGTCCAAATAGTTAAAACAATACCAAAAAATCTAGGTCTCAAAATTTAGAACTCTACTGACTACATATAAATAGTTACATGTTTGCATCTGTCCAGTACTTTTCCGAGTCGTATTTAAATACTTATATTATTATTACAAATTACTGGAAAATGTTATTAAAAATTTCCGAAACTAATTTCCGCCAATTATATTACCTAAACAAAACAATGTTTATTTTTACGTTTTAGTATATTACGTAACTCGCAACCGAAGAGATGAATCCAATACAGTTCGCATTAAAACTTTGCGTTTTTGTTTCTGTCGTACAATGTTGGGTAAGAAGAAGACTTTTGTCATTATACTATTTTTATAAACTG